ACGTCACCATTGGTTTGTTGGAGGTACCGCCTAAAGTTTGGGCCATTGATGGGGTCGTCGTCATGGTGGCGTGAGCTACATGCGAGTTCAGCTGCTTCGTCATTGGCTGCGAGCGTTTCGACTCGTCCGTGAGCAGGATATATATCAACGGCTCACAGCGATGTCGGGTTGTATTACTGATCTAATAAAGTCAAGTGAGAAGTTGGCTAATTTCTCCATAATACTCAATACTATTTGCTTCTTTGTGAGGAGCCAATGGCAACTGCCCCTGCTGGGATGGGTGGAGCATAGAATGCCAGTGTTTGACAGACACTTTGTTGAACGGACGCAGGCTGTGTTAAAAGTGTACACCAGCACGATCACATGGTGTCTCGAAACCAGCGAATGAGTTTAGCTGACCGTAGGCTCTGGGAATCGGCACTGGAGAGTCGCTGCTGAAGGGAGATCTGGAGGATTGTGGTGTTGGCCCTGCTGAAAAAGACACCGGCCCCAGGTACGACGCCAGCAGCCTGAAAGGAGCTGGCTATGAAGGGTACACACCCAGCGACCACCCAGACAGACACACACACACACACACACAACCACACAGGATCTCACCTAAGAAGGAGCGCTGGATGATAAATTGTGATAAATGGACTCTAAGTAATGCTCAGAAAAGCAAGCACATTTGAGGCATATGCTCTTGGCTCACGCATCATTCTGTTGATTTTTGCCGTCTAATGAATCTCAGAACCACGTTCCATGTTATTCATGGTTGTATCTGTTCTGTAGAAAGGTCGGTTTTGTTTGAGTTGGCCAAGGAATAAGTGTCTTGTCGTTTGGTATCAAGATCTGTCTATCAGCATGCTTGTTCTCAGGGTTTGGGCAGCAGACGAAGACACCACTCATAGAGATTTTGGCGTCTAGAGAACAGACAGAGAGGATCCTGGAAATAGAAGAAGTCGACAAGGAAGCGTGCAGTGTCAGGACAAGCTTTGAAGGCAACCAATTTTGTTTTAGTGTTCATCAAGCTAGGTGTTCACGAAAGGTAGGAAAGGTGATAAACAGTGTGGGACAAGGTGGCGGGTTGTTGTGTGGATATGGGGAAGGGTTAAACGCATGAAGAAAAGAACTCTATTTTTGAGTTTGTTGAACATGCGTTTCTTAGATGCGTTGATGTGTAATGTTTCTTGCAGTTTCTTTTTTCCCAAGAATGAGCGCAAGACAAGGACGCTGAGGATGACATCAGGTTCTTGACACTGGTGGGTGATGTTGCAGGGGCTGGCCCGTCTTCTTGAGCTGTGTCATGGTTACGTGCGTCAGACACGTTGCATCCATGGCTATGCGGTTAAGTTCTAGGCCCAGTACGACAACATCTCGCCTGCTGTAGCTGCCGCGGAGCACGTGGTTTTGATAAAAGACTAAACAAGACGTCAGACTCGCCGTTCTATTACGAGTCACACACACGCTGGAACACCAATACAGCAAGTTAACAACCTGGCCTTTTACTGTTGTCGATGAGGGTTTGGTATGCTTACACAGGAGAAAAGGCACAGTAAGGACACTGAACATCAGTAGCATTGAAGAATGGAGGTAAATAAGTTGTAGTTTTGATAAAATAAGGGAGTGGATGGAGGAACTGTGGGGGCTTTTCATTGCCTTTGTTTGACATCGGAAGAGGCCAGCTGGCTGCAGTACGAGGACAAGTGAGCTACTGGGCCAAAATAGGCTTTAGTTGAAAGCAGGTCTGGCGGTAAATGCTCATCATATCAGACCTTTCTTCTTTGTGGCTTATTCTGCTGTTTATATTATCAAAACGTCTTTTTATCTAAAGCATCCAAGTTTAACATACATTTCACTTGGTATATCATTTCTGAGAAGCCTTTTTTAGCGTAACTAATTCAAAGTAAATTGCAGAAATAAACAGTAAGCTTAAAGTGTTGGACAACATTAAAACAATGGCAAAGCAAAACAAACAAGTAACGCGCAACAATGACAAAACACACACAGGTGGCTCGACCACAATCCCCGACACTATCCCATCCCGCCCCATCCGCCCAGCGCGTGTATTCTCCATCCTCTCCATCCAGCCCTTTTTCTGCTTTTAAAATCTGTCTCCACGTATTCCTTGTGTTGGATTTAAAGAAAATAACTACTAGTTCTAATCTGTGGTACCGCAGAGGAGTCTTCGTAAAAAAACTTTCTTTAAATATATCGCATTATTTTATATTATTATTAATATTTTATATGGAGCTTGCTGTTTACCTAGTCTATGTTCATTGCGATGGTGTGACACAGCATACAAGGATTTGTTCGATATATAAACTAAGAATGCTATTTTGGTTAAGCATGAAATAAGAAAGGAATAGAGACCTAAGAACCAAATGACTGAGATTGATATTGTGTACTAAATAAAAGGTATAGCAGAGAGAGTGTGTTAGTTTTAGTCGTTTGGTGTGAATTTGTCGCAGCAGCTAGCATGATGAGGCATTGGTTGTAGTGGTTTGAGTGTGATGAGCGTCTAGGTGTCTGCTATGACTGTAGGTCAGTTGGTTGTTTGTATTGGTAATTATCTATTTCTGAACTGTCCGTTAAGTCTTGGCTCCCTGAAAATAGTGCCCCGCGTGTTGTCGGTGATAGGGTAAGTAGAAGAGTGAAAGATACACTGAAGACTAGAGGTAAGTGTGAAGCGTGAGAGAGGAGCGTGAAAGCATTTTTCAAAAAAATGCAGAAACCCATTCTGGGCTAGAGAAATGAATAAAAATAAGAAGCTAGGATGAGAAGAGAGTGAGCGGAATGAGCCATGAGTAACTATGATGCAAAGTCCATGGAGTGGGAGTACCGAGTTTGCGCAGTTACTAGAGCTTCTGTGTGTGGAGGGGAGCGAAAGTGTCGTCAGATGATTATATTTAGTGCGTGGAGAGGTAGGTAGGTATGATGTATAACCGTGGTGCTCTGGCCCTCTGATGAGTGCGAGCCGCAGTTCATTTCTGAGTGTGGTGGTTGATTCTGGTGGATGTAGTGTGGCGTGTTTGTCAAATTGTATGTAACAGATATGAGTGCTAAATGCGTGTAAGTATGGTGGTATGGGTACGCTCGTTTGTCTCGTATGTTCTATGTTTTGGTCATGTCAGCTCTTGGAGAGTGTGCCGGTGTTCTTAGTGTAGTGTGTGTGTGTACTGAGCGGTGAGCAGCGGAGGTGCGTGCGGATGCCAGCGCTGTGAGTCGGAGCGCGGGAGTGAGAGAGAAGAGATAGGAGCGCTCCGTGGGGTGTCTCAGTCTCTGAGTGGTGTGGTGAGCGTAGTGTGGGCCTCGGTGGTGTGCTCTGTGTGTTTAGATATATATATGTGTTCTTGCTTGTCTCTCTCTGTGCGCGCTCGATGTAAGAGGGATTTTTTGCTGGCTCTGTTGTTCCTTCTGTAGTTATCTCATTGATGCACTGTTCTCCTTGAGTATTCGATATATTAGTGTACGCAAGTGGTATCAGCGAGAAGTGGTGACTGTGGCCAACAGCTGTATTGGACCCTGGACGATGAAGGCGAGATATTGAAGAGTTGTGTGTCACAGCAGTAGGTAGAGAGGCACAACTGACAACTGCCCGTTGCTTTATTGAAAGCGGTCCAGTGGGTCAGGATGACAGTGTCGTGAGTGGATTTGTTCTAGTTGCTAAATGAAGAGGTATGAATGAGGCAGATGTAGTGTATGTGCGGTGTAGGTAAAGGCAGTGAGGGTTTAGTGCGTACATGAGCTATGCCTGGCGACCCCGTTAGTTGTGGTCAAGGTTTGTTCGTGATTAAAGAGTACTGGTGGGGTAGACCGTTGAATGTTTGATTGATTTTTTGAGAAATAATGTGTAAATATTGAGACGACCTGATAATTAGATGAGCGGAACGATTGTTATGGCGTAAAGATTGACATAGCTGCATAGGTGTCAGTGAAAGAAATCGATAGGAATTAGTGGTGGAGTGTGAGGATGTGGAGTGTAGTGAGCAAGGGTGTGTATGTATTTCTAATGTGTTTTGTTAGTTCAATGATGAAGTGAAGGTGTGTGGTGTTTTGGTGTTTCGATGATAGTTGAATCGAAGTCGGCTGTAGAGTGTCGGTGTGCGTGTTGGTGGCTGTCGGTATGTGCGTCGCCGACACTGTCGCTCTCTCTGGTTAGGAGCCGGATCGCCCGGCAGAGCGCGAGTGTTGTGCTTGCCGGCGCACTCCATGCCAAGTATTTTCTCTAGATCGGCGCCCTGGAGTGTGTTCTCGTTCAGTAAGCCGGGAGAGGGTGACAAACAGAACAAACTGGGTGGCTGATAGGGCGCGGATTGTGTTTCCTTGGCGTTTCGACGCCAGCGATTTGTCTCGCGTTTATGCGTGAAAATGAAGTTGATACAGTCTGCAACAAGCACCACGTAGGAGGCCATAGATGTGCAGCACGACTTCTAACTGAGATTGCATGCGGAGTGATTTTATACAGCGAAGATTTAAACTTGAGCCATCCTTTTAAGATAACCACAGTGAAGGTGTGCCTGGAAGCGAGGCCTGCGTCTTGCCTTTGAGAGCGGGTCACTTGGCCCAATGTGAACGGTACTGGCATGGTAGTAGTTCTCGTAGCAACAGGTATGTTTGAAGAAATACATTGGCGCGAGGGGATACAGTGCCGTGGGCGTGCCTGAAGACCTGGCCGATGACTGACTTCCTTTGCGCTGGCCCTTCGGGGGTAAAGGGACCGGGCAATACCGTTATCCGTGGACAGCCGCATGCATGGTTGTCCGCTCCGAAAGGTGTTGACCATGAAACGGATCGAAGGATGAGTACCAGAGAAAAAAGCTAACGGCAAGAACAGCTCTACCAGGATTCTGCGTGAGCAAGCGGATGTCTGACTAATCATGGGAGTAGCGCGAATAAACCCATTCCTACAAGGTCAGAGCGGCTGCTCAGGTTTTTTTGTCGGTGTACATGATCTGTTCTGGGTCTTTTTCAGGGATTGGAGCACTAAGGCGAGGACTATGAGAGAGAGTTGCTGCTCGCCCTCTGGTGGGGGTGAATAACTATCGGAACGATGTGGGATCAGAGGCTCCATACAACTGAAGCATCCTGAGCAGCGGAGCTTCGAAGCTGCGGGAAAATCAGAGCCTATAATCTCTGGGAGCAGCCAGTTGGTGGTGAGTGTCTGTGGGTGTGGAGAGACTGGCACTGTGGTTGGAAAGAGCCGTGATAACGTAAACAGCAGCATGGGATAGCAAAGAGATGTAAACGTGAACTCGGCACCCAGCTGCGTCAGCCAGAGTATTTCGTCCGCACGGAGTTATTCCCGTTTTCACCTTCACACTCTTATTTCGAGGGATGTAGATCTGATAGCAGGCGTGCGCGAGTGGGACGCCAGATGCGTCTGGGGACAGACTTGAGGCTTCATACTCGGCATTCACGTTCCATATCTGGGTGGTGGCTGAAGACAACTGAGTCGCTGGGAGTCACAGGCTGCAGCTGCTGACTCTGGATGTGGGTTCGTATACAGAGCACATCATGTGCGTTTGCTGGGATCAGTAGGTGCGAGTTTGGCAGCAGTATGGCTTAGCCCTTAGAGGAGCTTGGAGTTAGTCTTTGCAGGAATAATAAAGGCGTTTTCTTGTTATGAAGGCTGTGCGAGTGGGTCTTTGCCTTTTTGTTGGCACATGCGGGTACGTGGTACATACTCTTACTCGTAGGTAGCAGCTGGGATTGGACGTTGAGTGGGATGGAGCTAGTGAGGGCGTCAGTGACCGACTGGGCAGACGGAGGGGGTACTTCGCGGCGCGGGAGCAGATGGAGCTGCAGTTCTGATGGTATTGGAGATGCTGCGACCCAGTGCGTCCGTAGGCGCAGTCACAATTTGGCCTGTGAGAAAGCGCTTGGAATCTTTTTCGTCGGTGCTCGATGGTGCTTCCTGGTTGGCTGAGTGACAGCAGAGGCTTCTGAGGTCATAAATAAATGCGTCACTGTTGTCGTGCGGCGTTGACTCTAATATGGCTAACCAGGGAGTTAATTCGCTGGAGGTGTTTTAGTTGCGTGGTCTCACCACCTCGTGTGAGGTCATCCGCTTAATCACAATAGGTTCACACTTGGTGTGTTTGCATTATTGCCGTGAACATCTGTTTCATTCTAATCACCTTGCCGCTGGCCTGCTGGTAAGCCTCTTTGATCTGCTGTCTCTGCTCGTTGGTCCTCTTCACCAGAATTTCGATGATGGTGTTCTCATCCACA